AAAAAAAAAAAAAAAAACAGTGTTTGCTGTAGCTGTGAATGGGTCAACAAGAGTTATGTGACCTGGCATCATGACTGAGCTCCCAACCTGGGAGCTGGCACTGCTCAGCCTTGGTCTGAAAGGCTGGACATCTGTGTCTGTAATAAGGTTTTCTAGGTATTACTGTAGGCTTATTATTGCAGCCTTATTGTTACTATAAACATGATACATATTGGCGGTGACAAGTGTTTGTGTGGGACTATTTGTCCAATCACCGGTCTGATACTGCAGGGTTTCTGACCATTATTGTTCATTCCAACTGATTTTCTGTCTAAGTACTGCTTGCTGCCACTGTGATTCTGATGACTTAGACCTGCTACTATGTTGGCTACTGTAAATCTTTCTGCCCCATCACACAGGTTAAAGTTCATCATAAGACATGAACTGGAAACAAATTCCTTTGAAAAGGCAGTGGCAATTGAAAGTGTATAAAAATGTTGATAAATGAATAAATGTTGATCCTATTGCAGCAGCCACAAACCAGATACCCAAGAGTCATAGCTCAGCATTAAATTGAATCAGGGATGGAAATTCTATTTAATGATATTGATATTTATATAAGATATCTGTAAGCGATGGAAGTGGGTGAAAAGGAATTATCAAAAATAAACTGAAACATCTTTATGTTAATTGCGGGATACAGTCTAATGGAAGCAAAAGGCTTTACAAGTGTGCTTGAGATCAATAACAACAACTTCTTTAATTTTTGCTTAAAATTTCATCCCACACCCATTGCATGGTGCTCACTGCCTGCTTCCATCTTCATTAGAGTATCATTTGTCCTGTACATTTGTGACGACACCTTTAACAGTGACTCTATTATATCTACACATAAACATTCCTGACTGTAAAGATGATTAGAAAGCAGTGGATGCTGTGCCAACATTGTAAAAGGTGATCAAAGAAATTGTAGATTCCCCAGATTGTCCATATTCAATTTACAGAATCTTCAAAATTGCACTGTCAGTACCCTTTTTAACTTTAAGAATTATACAAGAATTGGCTTGGTTTAGTAGTAATGTGCAGACTTTATCTATTCACACTTAGCACGCATGTAACATTTGGGATGCCAGCTTCCTAACAGAGGTCACTGCTTGAAAATCAAGCCAGGTGTTACGGTCTCCGTTATTGCGACAGGTCTCCAGTTTGGGAGAACATGCACCGCATCTTTAGTCAGTTAATCACTACTGGTTTGAATGTGGCTTGGACATGAGCGCTTGATGAAGGATTAAAAGAAATAGCAGGCAGCACATCAACAAGTGGACCGTGAAGTATTTGATTCTCCAGACCAAATCTTCAAAACCATTCCTTTGCGGTTTCCTGTTTTATCAGCACCGATGCAAAGCATGATCAAGCCAGAGCATGATCAGACCCATGGGAGAGGAGAGAGAAGGTTGGTGGGGACTGGACCACCTCCAGGCTGCTCAGCCCTAGCATTAGTCTCCACGTGGCTGTGTCCTTTGTCTGCCAGTCAAAGGCCCGCTGAATGGGGGTCAATTGAAACCAATTCCTTCTGTCGGACACAATTAATGGGGTTGCCCGGACCGGGTAGAAGGGGGGCGGCCGCAGGCCTTTGGTTACTGATCCTGCCGCACAAGCATGCCAGGAATTTGCCACCTGGAATTTGCCCTGTGACAATAACAAACCCACCCCCTTCCAAACCCACCTCCTTTTCTGTACACACATGGATACATCCTAAAATACCCCCTGTCCCATCCACCCACCCACAAGGCAGGATGGGTGACAGGGGAGTGGCTAGTGGTTGTCCACAGTCTAGTCACCCACAATGGACCAGAGACAGAGAATAAGAGAGAAGTGGTGTAGCGTGCAGCTGCAGAGAAATGTACTGGAGTATTTTCTGATCCAGTGACTCCCAAAGTGGGGCCTAGTGATCCCCATGGGTGCTTGAGGGTTGTCCCTGGTGTTCAACAAATCAAAAGGCAAGTAGTTTAATTTTGCGATTATATCGTCCACTTAACACAGCAAAATATCTATTGATGTGCACAGCTTTTTGGGCCCTTTGCTATCGATTTAAAGTGGAGAGAGAATAGTGAGAAAGCAAAAAAAAAAAAAGAAAAAAGAAAAAGAGACAGTGCGAATGAGAACCGGCCTCCCCGTGTCTGAATCAATCTTCGGATAAGTATGGACAATCGATCCACCACCAGGCCATCCACAGTTAAGCACTTCAGTGGATGTGCACTAATTGTCCTGTTGACATTAATTGTCATTAAAGGGCTTAAAACGGCCTCCCGGCTGTGAGTTACATCCCACACTAAGGTTGCAACCCATTTGTTTATTGGTGACATCAGAGCTCTCCCTGCCACTAACGCACAGGTCGCTGTTAAATCAGACAGGTTGACCACTGCCCAGGACGGGTTTATACGAAGCAGTTCTGCCCCTCTAACGACGCATTTTGCACAGATGACATCATCAGCCTTTTTCTGTTGTCCCCATTAAACGGTTGGTATGTTTGAGGACCCCTCATTAAAGTGGAGGGAAAATGTCTAGGTGTGTGTGTGTGTGGTTTATGCCGTAGCCCACCGCTCTAACTTCCTGAGGGGAAGTCTAAAAGGCCCCCCTGCATTGCTGCCACACCCCTTTAAATGGGGTGAATCAATCAGATTCATTTGGCCTAACAAATTGGTTTGTGTGAGTGTATTTGTGTGTGTGTGTATTCGGCTCACGGTGTGAATGTGTATGTGAATGGGGGCCAAGGTGCATAAGAAAGGAGCGATGTGGAGGGGAGAGGGGGCAGAGAGGGACACACACCGATGCAAGCCTAACACATCCCTGGAAAAGGGGTCATGACCCCTACTGCACTCAAACAGCATTTCAGAGTGGTAGAGACATGGAGAGGGTGAGTGCTTACCTACCACAGAGCAGCAAGGACATGACAGGAAACATGAGGAGAGAGTTATCTAGATTAGCTATACAGGATGAACACAGAAAGGCTCCAAATCATCTCACCTGACTTTGTTTGA